TTAAAAATACATCGCTCTGATGATGTGTCCTGGCTTACTGTAAAGCAGACAGACTCCATTCCATCCAGCCAAGAAGGTTCTTTGAGGTGCTTTTAATCCTTTATGAAAATTTCACCAATCCGTGTGTAGCGAGAGCGCAGTAAATTCACAGGGATAGGACTGAAAAGATGATGTGCATTTTTAAAGATTGTATATTAATATACTACAAAATATGATTTTCGTTTAAGAAAAAAATATATTAAAGGATTATGTGTATACATATATAATTTTTGAAAGTGAAGTGGTATTGACTTAAATCCCAGGCAAAGCATACCAGTGTATTTTAAAGGCTGAGCAATCCCTCTCTCTATTACTTGGGTGTTATCAGTGATCTGGAATTAAGCCAGGGCCGCAGGAGTCAATGGAATATGCATAGTCTCCCTGACTCATCCTAATTCAATTACAGGGGGACTGTGGGTTGAATTTGGTTCCTGAGAGAAGACTCTAAGAGAAAAATGAGGCTTATCCATTCTGCCCTATATTAGTAAGTCTATTTATGTGCACATTATGTAACAAGTTGGGCTCTTAGAAGAATATCACGTGAGTTTATTTTTAAAAAAAAGAAAAGAAAAAGGACGGAAAAAAATATAGGCATGCAGAAGTGGGAGAGAAGAATAGGAATGGAAGTTATTAGGATAATGTTTCAGGTACTATGAAGTTCTGTTTTCAACAACATACTCTTATTAATGAGAATGTATTAAAGAGAATAAAGAAAAAAAAACTTGTACAATATTTATTTTAAATTGAGGAAGTTCTAATATCTAAGAAAATCACTTTCCCAATTACCTTTGGGCAAATGCTATTGTGCATTAAATGTGTTCTTGTCTCAACATTTCTCTATATCTATTTTTAAGAGTAAATAGAGGTGCTTCTGAATAATGTGCATGTAATTTCTGCATTTGGGGGCATTTTATTTTATGTAAATGTGAATAAAATAGATCATACTTGATATTCTAACAGTTCTTACCTACAGATAATAAATGTTCTACAGACAAGAAAGTTTTCTGTTACATTTCACATGAAAATATATGACTTAAAAGTGAAGAAAGAGAGAGAGAACAAATATATATATATTCGAAGGAAAGACCTAATAGTGCAGCAGAAGAATTATTCAAGGACCTTACTACACTTTGCCAGTTTGTACAGTCTTAAAAGGTGTTAATTTTTTGTGCTGTTAACATTCTGCATTGTCATTTTCTAAGTAGTGATAATATAAATAACCCTCAGCATTTTCACACAATTTCCCCCCAGAAGTACACTACAATAGTCTAGACTCTTTTGTGAAATGAGGACAATAATACCTGCTGGGACACAAGATCCCTGTGATTGATTTATTAATGTCTGTTAGACACAATGAGACATCTGGATTAAAGGCACTTTAGAAGTACAAGGCTCACTAGTATTTATTTTATTTTACTTTTCACTTTGATTGGAATACAGAAATAGTATGTTAAAGTTGAACATTTTAGTCTTGAAAACCTTGAGGAGGTCATTGCATCATTGCAAATACCACAGTCTATGTCTTTTATACAAACTGTAGCTTAACGCAAAAAGCCTTTACAATCTCTGTGTGAAATGTAATTTTAAAATGCTGACTGGAAACTAAAAAATCATAGATGAAAATTCAATGAACAAACCAAACTGCTTGATAATTGAAGTTATTAAATGCCATCACATGAAAATTGTTTAAATATATAACTAGAACAACATTAAATGTTGGAATGTAAAATAATGTTATCGCAACATCTGTTTCTATATTCATCTGAAATAGTATTTAAGTCTTTAGGTAGCTGGTCTAAGGTGACTTAGCTCCACAATATCCCATGACCTATATAGCAGCAGGGAACACTAAAGCAGTTTTACTATAGCCCAGATGGCATAATTCCTAAATCATATACTAATCAGGTACAACACATGTGAGAATGTAACAATTCCTTGCTGTAGAAAGCGTGCAATGACAAAAATGAATAAGGGTAAATTAATGAGATCTAATTGGAAGCCTAATACGTATACTGGAAGATCTATATTGGAAGTCACATAATTGGAAATCAGATATTTTATTAAATTCACTGAAGAAAAAAGTGATTAAAATGCTTCAAAACCAATAGAGAGCCTCCTACAAAAACTAAAATTTATGTACAATATAATTTCCTTAATACATAATTATGTAGATATCACTTTAAAAAAATAAGGTAGAAGAGGTGAATTGTGAGCAGCTCTCATTATGGAAATGTTTTATATAGATTTCTGGGCAGAAGCCTCAAGTTATGATAGCAGAGGGTTAGAAATATGACCCTTCAGATTTAATTTTCTTCCTGAATATGAATAAGATCTTTAATAATAGTTCTCATTCTGGAGTTTAGCAGTTTGGAATATAATAGGGCAAACAATAAGCTTCAACCATTCTAGCTTTAAGAGATAAAACTAGTATGATTAAAGAATTCCAATAATTTAGATATTCCAAATAAACACCTGAATGAGAGAATGCACTAAGTCAGTAGCTCTGTTTCTATATTATAGTCAACATCCTTTGAAGAGTCTAGAGATGGACCTCATTCGGGGGCTTTGACCTTTGGTTTCTGTAATTGAAGTCTCATGGTCATAAATGTAATCATATGATTTTTTTTCTCCTTAACCTTCATCTGTGTTCATACTAAGATTTCATTTATGAGCATAGGGTAGTAATGAGTCCTGACTACTCACAAAGCTACCCCTTAGCAAACAGAAATAATTCTGCTTAGTAACAATATAAATTATTGCTAAGTTATGTGCTGTGACTGCAACATGAATTTGAAACGACTATAGTATGATTAGCATAAGAATTGAGATGACTGTGATGCCTAAGAAGTGAACTGGAAAGTGGCTATGCTGCTGTTTATTGTAAATGTATCAAAATGATGGTTCACTTATTCTTTTAAACAAGTTCAGAGCATAAAATAGGTGACAACTGGAACAATGCACTAGTTCTAATTGTAGATTTTGTGAATGGCAAAATGATCATTCAGAGTTAAGATAAAAGAATCTTCCTTTGATTCACTCTTATTGTTGTATGAGGTAATATTTTTCTTTATAATTTTAAATACTTAAGCAGTCCTTTCCATTCTTAAATTTTGTATACTCTAATCATACAAAATACTATTATGAGAGGACTTTTGGCTATTTAGAAAGCATTATCAATCTACTGCCTTGAGGAACCCCGTTTTATATTTTTCATTAAGAGATTAACTATTTTAGTGCACATTAGGCACTGAATTTTGCCATGAATATTGACCTCAGAAAAAGTTTATTTTTTAAAAATATTTGTCAGTGATGTGGGGACATTGTAATGTCAAAAGAGTTGGTTAAATAGTGAAATTATTTATACAATATCTAAGTTTGGTGGGTTTGCTTGGTGATAATATTTTTACATTTTAACTAAAGTATCTAAAAATAAGTGTTCATATTGAAAAAGAAAACCATTCTATTCAAAAACTAAGAGGTATCTTTGTACATGCCATCATAGTGCAGAACTGTGTGAAGAGCATCAGTGCATCCATCCACAGCTCAGTACAGAATGGAGAACACGGAAATGTAAAATAGGTGCCCTTTATTCTCCCTGTAAGTTAGAACCAGTTATTCAATTACACATTAAGACCTTCTCAGACAACCTTTATAGGTCATTCAAAAAAATAAAATAAAATTTTTGTTCCAAGTGAACTGTTATTATGAAAGCCTCAAACTTTACTCATGCATATATCCTTCTGGTAACAACCCATTATGCAAACCTGGTGGCTTACTGATTTTAAAAGATCAGTCATTTATAGAGATAGTCTAGTTTTCGGGGCCCATATTTCAGAAATCAGGCTAATCCTTTCGGGAGTCATTCCATCCTACACTTGCATGAAAAGGAGAAACGTGTGAGCACACGCTACAAAACGAGTCAGAGAGACATGAATCGCACAGGGAAAGACAAGTATTACGTGTAGAGTTGGAATCAGTAGCAAGTGCCAGGGGAAAGGAAATGGTCCACAGCCCGGGGAAGCAGCTGGACGGGACTCCTTCCAGCCTCTCGCAGGCAAAGTTTGCAGTTAAGTGAGCTGGGAGCGGGCTGTGCAGCCGCGGCTGCCTCTCTCCCCGTCTCTCCCCGCCAGCTCCTGCCACCCAGCAGGCCAGAAAGGCTCTAGTGAATTTTCTTTCCGGTCTCGACTGAGGTTCAAAGATTCAGATTCTCAGCCCGGACCTTGCGCTATCCGCCCCCGCCGCTCCGTCCTTCTTGCCAAGTCCCTGCCAGCATCGCCGGGCGTGCTGTCTGCTTAACGCGCTCCGGGGATCGGCTGGCCCGTCCTCCCGTCCGAGGGGTGACCCCACATCTCCGGCCTCGGACTCCGGGTGCCCTCCCATCTCTTTACATTGGGGCCCCTCCATTTAGTAGAAAAGGCAAGCGCGACATGTGCGCCC